AAAAAAGCGTAGAAAATGTACAAAGATTTGTTGGAATATATACCGTTTCGACCAACAGCCTCAGGGTTGCGTTAAGCATGTTAGCTGTGTGTTACACTAACGTGTTGGTGGAAAGATTAGATCCTAAAAGAGCATTTGGAGGATTCAATTTGAATAGAATCAAAAGCCAAAATAGGCTTGAAGCTAGTCAAGCAGATATTCACATATTTTTCATTTTAAGAATCATACTTGATATGTTTTGGACGCGGCAACTCTTGCTGGTCGTCGGCCATGATTCCGCACGTGCACTAACAAGTTCACTAGCCGTAACCACTTTAGGCGGATGCCTCATTCACGACGCGTTTGCACGACCCTTTTCCCATTACCTTGAATTCCCATGCCAGCAAATTTTTCTCACGGACTACGGAAACAAGACACAAACTACAATGACGAATCACGCCTGATGAAGTAAACATGGCTTCCTCCTCCTCCTCCATCGCCGCAGACCAGGCCGCGCGCCTCCTCTCGTCCTTTTCCAGCTTCCTCACCGTCGCCGTGCACTCGCTGCTCTTCCACCGCGCCCTCTACCCTGCCCGCAGCTTCCTCACCACGCGCGCCTACAACCTGCCCGTTCATCAGTCCCGCCACCCGGGTGTCTGCGCATGGGTCGCCGACGCCGTCGCCGCCATTGCGGCGCAGATTCGCAGCGGCGCCGCACGCGCCGTCGTGCTCGCCGTCCACGCTCCGCAGTCCATGACGGTGCTGGAGCGCTGGGTGTTTGACCTGCAGTCATTTCCGGCTTCGTGGGGCGATGCTGCCGCCGCCGCCGGTGGAGGTTACAGAGACAATAGTGACGGCGGCCCGGCGGCGGCTACGGGGACGGATGATTTTGGTGCCGCCGGGCTGGAGTCGGCGGCGGCGGTGGCAGAGGCGGGCGGCGAGGGCCAAGATGAGGTCAACTGGACAGATGTAAATGAAGGTTTGCGAGGCGCGTTGCGCAGAATTGCGTATGCGGGGGAAAAGAGCCCGCCGCTGCCGGAGAATTGCACCTTTACACTTGCAGTTGAGCTGCGCCAAGAATCAGAAGCACCTATTGGGGTATGTTGACTTGACAAGGCTTGCTCTCGAAAAGCGAACAACACTGGTTGTACTGACTGCGTACAGCACCCTCAAGCTTGGATCCCGGCAGAGGCTAAGAAGCACGACGCCGCGGCTGGGCGACCAGACATGAATACTGCGCCGATTCGCTCTGTGAGAGCCGGGCCGCTATTCTTTGAGTGCTGGCTCGAGAAGAAGATGCAAGCCCAAGAATCGCATGATAATAATCAATGACTAATTTATATGAAATGCTACCCAGAACAAATAAACATAATTGATGTGACTCCTTTTTTCTTTTTGTACCTTTTTTAGATTGAAAGTCAATCCTTCAAAACAGCAGCAATAGCCTCTACAAGTGTCTTCTCCGCTCTTAAATGCTTGCTGCGACATTGCATAACCCATCGTCGGTTATCCAACAGCATGTCCTGTGCCAACTCGGTGAGGCTATGAATCTCGGCAGGGCCAACACTGCCTGCACTTGTGCGCGTCTTGACAAAGCTCTCCGGGTCCAGAGCCTCGTGCAAGTCTTGCTCGCTCATCTCGACATCCTGCCCCAAAGAGACGAGGCTTGCCTCTTGGAGCATCTCTGGCGTGACTTGCGCTCTGCTCAAGCCCGTGTCTCGACACGTGCGGACGAGGCGCGCCACGACGCCGTGCGCTTGGCGGATGGAAAGACCTCTGTGCTGCATGAGAAAGTCGGCCAGGTTGCTCGTTGTCGACCAGCTCTGGCCCAGGACGTCCTTTACCCGCGCATCGTTGACTTTGACCTCGGACGCGACCAGGCCAGCTAGAATCAGCATGTCTGATGTAGTCTCCAGCGCTTGGTCCAGGTGCGCCGGGATCCCATGCACCCTGTGATCACCGGTTCCGGCACCGCGAAAGGTGGCCAGAGTAGAGCTCAGCCAAGCAACGCTGGGTCCGGCAGCTAGCTTGATCGTCTCGAGAGTGACTGGGTTGCGCTTTTGGGGAAAGATGCTGCTCGTGCCACAAAACGTGTCTGGGAGCTGCACGAATCCAAACTCGTTGCTGGACCACAAGTGCAAATCTGTAGCAAAATCGTTTAGATGGTACATGACGAAAGAGAGTGCCGCCACAATGTCGGCTGCAAAGTCGGCATCTTTGCCCAAGAGGGAGTGCTTGACGCAGCTGTCGAATCCCAGCAACTGTGTGGTTCTCTCACGATCAATCTTCAAGCCCGTTCCACTTCTTCCCACCGTTCCAAGAGGATTGCGATTGACGCGATTATATGCTTCTTGACAACGCTCAAAGTCTTCTTGGAGCTTGGCCGCAAACGACAGCAGGTAGTGTGCAAAGTTGCCTGGCTGTGCCTGCTGCATATGCGTATGGTAGGGGATGATGATGGACGCATGCTCTTGCGCAGCCTCGACGAGGCTCTCCTGAAACTGGCAAATGTGGTCCATGACTTGAAGCAATACTCTTCTGTAGTGCATTCGACCGACGGTGGCGCGCTGGTCGATGCGGCTACGCGCTGTGTGCAAGGCGCCAGCGACATGATCGCCGAGTTTTTGGCCAAGGGCGGACTCGACTTGATACAAGAGACTCTCCTTGTATGGGTCAATAGGGAGTCTGCTGTAGCCCTGGGCCCGAATATCTTGCAGGGCTGGCAGTAGCTTTTGTCCAACAGCCCTATCAACCGTCTTCTGTTCGACCAACATGACCACGTGGGCCAGGTCGATCCAGCAAAAGTCGTCAAATTGCTTGCATTCTGACTTTTGAGAAGGCCACGAATGGTAAATTTGGAAAGGGGTGCTATTCCCATTTACCGTAGTCTTGACATTCTCTGCGGCAATTGGCCCGGGCATGGTGAATGGGTTGTTGTGTCTGGAGAGGGACGAGGGTTAGGGTTAAGCAACTGATTGAATCTCTTATCTGATTGAGATGGATGGGATGAATAGCTTTAGAGTATAATTAAGCTTGATAGAAACTGAGCGGGATGATACTGTTTACATCACTCTGAATGGTGAGAAACGCACGTCCTTTTAAAACAAAACTTCAAGGGCCTACCTAGCAATACCACCAAGGAGCTTGCATTGACGGACAGACTACGAAAGTTACCATCTTGCGCACGTATTGCGCGGCAGTTAAACCGCCTCATCCCAAAGCTCCTTTTTCAGGGGGTGATATTCATTGTCGTGCTCTGACGCGCGAAAAGTTGTCTCTCGAATGAGTCTAGGAAGTCCCGGAGCATGCGTACGAGCAAGAGCGATGGCATCCTAGCCTGGCTTATGGCCCACAGAGGTCCACTCCTAATGGAAGATCATTATTCTTCATTATTACGTATTCAACTTGTATTGTTTTGAGTTCCGCCTGTAGTTGCGTGAAATAAACCCTGTTGTGGATGGACAATGACGTGGCGTGGCTATGCACGGCAGACCAAGTCTGAGGTAGTTATGAGATCCATTCTTCGCTTTTGTTTCGGCGTAGTTTGTTTTTGAGGGCTGAGTTATCGGTTCTCTTGAATACATTGTACTAGACGTCTCGTACTTTTACAGCTTCCGTTGGTTGTTAACGCTGAGAACGCTGGGCTTGGCGGTTCCAACGCTAAATGCGAAACTGTCAATGACACGCCAAGCCACATCGCAGTTGCGAAGTCCGCTGCGGATCGGCCATGCGAGAGTGGCACCTTGGCGTCTGGAATTGGACTCAATTATCGACGTGCAGTTGCATTTCCCGAGCTAGTCACATGTACTCTCGTACGGTTATTGCTGAGCCTCACCTTGCGTACGTGGAAGGAGGGACGTTCAAAGTGGACATGCACCACAACAAGCTCTGCTCTGAACCATGTGCAAGATGGTACAAGTTTAGATGGATTTAGACTTCTTCGCTTGAAACTCCAGACAAAGGCAAATGTTCGTGAATACGGCAAATCTTTCGACATCAGGCCTCTCTTCAACTCGCACCAACGCGTGTCATCGGCCAATAGAAATGGTCCAGAACATCCTCACATAGATTGCCGTAAGGCTGTTGGACGAAACACGGTGGATCGATTTTTTTTGCGAAATGCGAATGTGTTGCAAGTCTTCGTGTTCCCTGTAGGTTGCTTCGACCAATAGACATACTGGCTTGTAGCACAGACCGTCAATGGGAGTGAGTGGATTGGGACGGTGCCGATCGTGATGATCTAACTATAGTACGAAATACCGACACAGGCGATTTCTGCCGGGTTACTCAGCCACCGTGGATAACTTTGAGCTGCATCCGAAGGGTGGACACTGCACTTTTTTTTTAAAAAAAAAAAAAAAAAGGTTCCTTGCGCCATCTTGCATCGAGATGAGTATAAGATCGGAAAGCCATCTTTCAATCATCCCGACGATGAAAAGCCGCATATTGTGCTAGTTGGCATATAACAAAGCAAATGAATGGTACCCAAACAAGCTTCCCTAATAAGCTTCTCAGACGAACTTCGGGCGACTGGAGACAATCCGCGGCCTATTCTCATTCGAGAGTCTTCAGCTCCGTCGGGTCCCTTGCAGTATCACGGCTAAAATAAAGCTTCTTTATGCATTGTTTTGGCTGTGCTGACCGTCACGGAAGACGTTGCACCCGGCGATACTACATTCTGCTTACGGCGACGGCCAACCTCTGCGTGCGCCGGCCGAGTTGTGGAGCTTGATGTCCGTGATTGCGTATCCGTACATGGAACAATGAGAATGCCTAATAAATAACCAAGGTAACTAGTTAGTCAACGTTGCCAATAAGCTCATGTCTGAACGCCAACGTGGGTATTGTTTATATCCACTCGTCCCGTTTGTGCGGGACGTGGTTTCCGCGTATACTACCCAGTGCACCATACGGAGTACACCCTGCTGCGAAGAAAAGAGGAGAACAGCTTGAAGAGGCTCTAAACGAATTGCGGTGTGGCTGGATCTCAGCCCAACCCAGCCTTGTCCCGGATTCTACTTTTTAAATACCAACTAACGAAACACATCATTGTACCACAAGATTTCACGGTACTGGGGTGGCCTGTTGTGTCCCGGACCCTGCACTCCGCGACGGTAGTTCCTAGTGACGCGTGTGTTGTGCGATGTCTGTGTGATTGGGTGGGTATTCTTTGTACTGATCCTTTTGTGTAACAACTTTCGCCATGTATGGTATGCACATTGTTGGACAAACAAATAGTTTGGCAAAAAGTCTGATTTCAGTATGCGACCTGTAACTTCGATTGAGTTTGCACCTATATAACATCCACCATCAGAGCTATATACACCTATCTGAAATTTTGCTCTGCTGGCCAAATTGGCAAGCTCAATGGTAGTATACATTACGAAACCGCTCGGGTACAAGGTATCAGGACCCCCCCATCGGCATGGAAACATCTCACAAGGAGACCTGTCAGAAACAAAGCCCCGACAATTTATCAGAAGCCGGCAGCCGACGGCCTGATTATGGATCCCCGTTTTGCTCGGCAGTGCTCTGGCGCTAATGTAAACTAAAAGCTTCGCCATCTACCCAGCAGCCAGGTTGCTTCCATTCGAGAGGCAAGCAAGAAAGGGTTGACGTCTTTGTCAGACTGGAACCCGGGGGGAACATTGGTGCAACTGCATTACTATCCTGCACCTGTCGCAATCAAACCATTCACTTCCGTATATTGTAGCAAGACCACTTTTTTTTCTCCTCCTTGCTTCGCCATTGCTGTTGGACTCCAGTGTTGGTGCACCATCACGAAACATGTCATGCTGACACTGGAGAATTGCGTGCAAGTGTGTGAATATTCTGAAAGCTTGGAAATAGTGGGCAACAATGGATTTCTCCTGTGCATCATAGTCGAATGCGGACATGATTTCCGATTGAGCGCATACTCTACTCTAGCGAGCGACACGTAATGAGAGACTGTCGCAGCGTCAAGTAATCAATCCGAATTGCAGCGCCTCCCTGCATTTGCGATCCCTGCCTTTGAGAGGATTAATTGCGAAAACTTAGATTGATTGCGTCCCCCAGATCATACAGACAATAGTATCCTTAGCCAGATCTTGCCAAGCCAGCTCCGGCAAATGACCCTTTGCGCCCACCTTGGCTTTTGACTTGGCTTGTCTTCCCGTTCATCTTTCTCGATGGGCCATTTGCTCCTTGGCAGGACCACACTGCATGCACCGATGATATTGGGTCCAAAAAAGAAAAAAGTAGGCCCTCCATGCCGGCGGAGACACCGTATTAGCCTCTCATCACTCCCGTGTGCGGTCTTCGCTGGCCGTATCCGATCCCTTTTACACTTCCGTGCCCACACCACGCATTGTTATTTTTTTTTTATTTTTTGCATTTTCTTGGAAAATATGCGACCCACAGATTAGCTGATGATCGTGGCCTTTTTGTTCTGCGAGGGAAGAGCACGTTGCCGGAAGGTGAGCCTCTTCTCTTGCCTCGGTGGCATTGCAAGATTCTTGGCCAAGGATCGCCAAGGTGTCTCAATGCACGGTCGACCAATGTGCATCTAAATTCATTCTTGAGACGTGTGGATCCTGTAGCCGGAAGAAGAAAAAAAGGTATGTTAATCCCGTCATCGACAGTAAGCGAACCTCTTGTTTTACCACTTTGTAAAAAAAAAGTCCTTGCCGACAAGACAAACTCTCGTCTAAAAAGAAAGCAACTAGTCTCCCACAGCGGGCCGAACCTTGGCAACATTTCCATGGTCAAAGTACTTTTCACTCTGATATTTTGAACAGTCTAGTTACGTTTGAAATGTTCAAAGCTATTGGGAATGGGGCTCTCGCAGCCGTCAGCTTTGTCTGGCGTTGGTCAGTTCCCTACAACAGCCGCAACCGCCCGATAGACCCCGTCTACGCTGCTGTCTGGAGTACTGGAAGTGATGAGAACAGTATCCTGGACATTGTTCAGCAGTGCTTTCCTGACATCCCTCGCCATGAGCTGCCCAAGGAAGAAGAGGCCATCCGCCGCTTGGTGCGAGAGCGCTTCCCACCAGGTGGAAACGGCCCTTTATCTTCCTCGTCATCAACCTGCCACGAAGGAAAAGACGCCAGGAGCTCTCGTGCCTCGAGCATCACTCAAGTTGACCAAGAAGAGGCCATCCATGCTGAGAAGCAAAGGCAAAAGATGCTCGACTCCGCCGAGGAAACATGGCAACACCTCCCTACAGCCCTCTGCTCCCTTCTTGCTAGCCTAAATGCTCAAAACATTGAAAAGAAGCTTACATCTCTGCTTACTGCTCCTTTCCATACCTCTTCCGGTCGTGGTGCCATTCGCCGTGCCTCGTCGGGCGTACATCGCACATTGGCCATGTGGCGGCATGGCTTCAAAGCCGCCGTACCACGCACAGAGCGCTTCTTCACCAATCTTTTCATCATATTCCTCGTCGCCAGCGCCTGCTATCCTGATGTTGCGGCTGGATTCCTCGGCGAGCGCTCATACAACCAGCGGTCAATCGGTGGACGCATTGTCACCCTGTGCCAACTGTGGTTTCTCTGGCGCTACCCATACCATTCGTTGTGGCTTCTCTTTAATTGGAGTCTGGAGCGACTGCTAGGTGCCTTTGTTGGTAGCACCGTGTATGCTCTGGCGGCTGTGGTGCCGTCGATCCACGCCGCGTACAAGACGTCGTGGTTCCGCATCATGATGCTTGTGCTGTCCATGTCCTGGCAGATTAGTGTTCAATTTTCGCCAACGGTGCGCGATTACCTGATGCGTCTTGTCACGAGACGTCAGATGCGATTGCTGCGCGCTCGTAGCGATGACGAAAAGGTCATTGACTGGGTCGCGGCAGACAAGGCCATCAATGCCGAGCTCACCACGATCAAGACTTTTACAGCGCAAGCCGAGGTCGTCGCGGCTGAGAATGTGCCTATTCGGGTCCGCACCGAGCGTTATATCCAATACACTGCGGGCTATAAGCTTGGCCGTCCCGCTGATCAACTGGTTGGGCTATTCAAGGATGACCTGGAAGGCATCATCAACACATATGAGGACTATCAGTCCACCAGCCCTGCCACTGCGCCGCAAGACGACGGCCACGTAGAGCCGCGGGCGCCCAAGTTCCTTCTCGTCTTCTTTGACATGGCCATATTTGCCTATGTTTGCTACTCCTTCTACCCTCAGCCGTTTACATTCAATACGGTCGTCGCGTACGGCACCGTTGTCTGCATCAAACAGGCCATCATTGCGTGTAAGCGCTACCAGACGCCAAAGAGCGCCCGGCGACTGTTCACCAACATGGTGTCCATTAACATTATTGGAATGTTCCTGGTGTCGACGCCTGTGACGATCAACAGGGATGTGCTCAAGAGCGACGTCAATTTCATAGCTCTGACGCTGGCCATGGTGTTTGCGACGCTGTTTCTCGCGGAGACAATTGCGCCGCTGCTGCTGGCGTGTGTCGAGGGTCTTGTGTCGGGCTGCAGCTGGGTGAAGAGCAAGGTGCGCCCCAAGAAGAGTAGCGCGAGCGAAGAGAAGTCGAAAATAGGATCTGCGACTGCGACTGCGAGTTCGCCAGAGGTTCAGTCGTCGAGAGGTGGAGAAAAGAAGGAGGCTTCTGTGCGAGAAGCGCAATTAAAATAGGACTGAGACATTCCCAGGCTAGGCAAGCCACTAGATTGGGAACCCGGGCATTATGCGGATATAAAAGTCATCATTAGTCTTTACAAGTAATTTTGGGAATGTTATTATTCAATCAATAAATTTTAATCAACCTAGATTGCCATGATACCAGAGAACGAATGGAATGCACTGCGCCATATGGCAGCAGTCATGATGAAACGGCAACAGTCAACCCTTGGCGTCACAGGCGAACCCGCTACACCCCTGGTTTCAACCCACCCAACATCTGCCCATGACCTGTTTTCGCTTCCTTCTTGGCTCTCAATTCATTCTCTGAAAAATCAACATTCATTACAGTACACTACTTCTCCATCGCAGGACGACACTATTCGTTGAATCATTGCAGTTCAATCCGCGCAACCACCAGGAAACTTCCAACCACGCCGCCAGCCTCCCCCCTCCTGCGATTTCTTCTTTCTCCAGGAACAATCACAAGGGCTAAAACAAAATAAAAGAGCGAAACCGCAAGACGTTCGTTGACCGAGACCTATTTTTTTTTTTTAGAAAAAAAAAATAATGGTCAAATTCGACTTTCTCCGATCCGTGGGCGCCACGAAAGAGGCCGTCGCCGTGCTCAACGACCAGCCCAACCTCTTTACCAACCTCATCGTCGTCCTCATCGGCCTGGGCGTGCAGGCCACCCTGCTGTGGTACATTCACTACGCTACGCTCAAGCCAGAGCAGAAGAAGAAGAAGAACAAGGAAAAAAAGGGCGGTGCGGCTGCGGCGCGTGGCCGGGGAGGGGATAACGCGAGAAAATAAATTGTGCCGAGGATTGTTACTTTGTTGCTTGTCCGTGTTATTCTCTTGTGAATCTCTTGGAGGGGGCTTTGACAAACAAGTTTGGCGTTTTTTATAGCCTCTGCTGCTGGTTGGAAGCTGGCATCTTCACCAGATTTGGCGTTAGTGGAGCGCACCGTTAATGAAATTATTAATTTAATTGCAATTAGATTATTAGTTTTGAAATAGCAAGTCTGTTTCTAGATCTTTAAAATCGCTCCCAAACTCAATCATATCGCCCGCTTCGCTCGAGATGCCTGCCATTCCTCCGTCGACGGGCAATGAGTCCGCCAGTTCACCTTCTGTAAAGGGGAGGCCAACTTCAAATGCGTCATAGTAAATATGCACGGCAGGCGAAACCTCTCTGTGTAATGTCTCAGCACCGTCATTCATGACGCCGTGGAGACCCGAGGAGAAGAGATCTTCTCCGAAACAAATCAAGTTCGATCCAGCTCCCTGATCCACCATCACATCTTCAATTGCTTGATTGTCTTGTTGTCGAGCGGCAATCATCTTCGGCCCAGGCACGCTGGCTGGTTTCACTCGAGACAAGGTAGAATACCACAGATGCTTCTCGATACCTCCTCGGTCAGTCAAACTCAAGAGTTTCCGCTTCAGTCTTGGCGATTGAGCAGTGTGTTGCATGGTGGCAAGTGCAGAGGTCACGGTTGACATATGTTGAGCTCGGTCTGAAACAGTCTGATAGGATTAGCAAGGGTTATGCCTTTCACGTTCATAAACATACTTTGACGTATAGCCCATGAAAGACTGCTGGAACAAGCTTTACTAGAGCGTGCGTTGTATTGCCCGGTTTGACGTTGATATCTGCAAAATGCCTAGCTGAGCCAGTGATGAGCACCGTTGTAGCTGCTTGCAAAATGTGTTCGAAATATCTTCGAGGGTGATGTTCCGTCGTCGCAGTGAGCCCTGCAACAAACTTGTGCATGGTAGAAGCAGCCAAATTCACGTCGCCAACAGACGAGGTCTCACTCTGCGCTTGATGGCGTGCTTCATCTACCATCTCATCCGCATTGCCTCTTCTTCTCTTCTTCGAGTGTTTCTTATCCAAATGCTGCGTAATCTCAATCTGACAACGGAGGTCCTGGAGCTCCATCTTGGCCGCCGACGATGGACATGCCAAGGAGGCCGACAGATCTAGATGCTGTAGTGAAAACTCCGGCGCCGAGTCCCAAGGTGCATCACAATGCCGCACTCGTAGCCTGAGGCGCTCCCATATCTATTTTCTGTCAGCTTCGTAAGCAGATATTCTGTTCGAGAATTTGCGGCATACGTCACAGCTCTCGATCCACCTCGCCACTTCCTTCATGTCAAGGTTCTGACTAGAGACGCGGCCGAGAGTTTTAACAGAGAAGCGCATTCGACAGGCAGGCGCCGGTATGATCCACAAGTTTTCTTCTTTGCGCAGCCTTAGGAGGTCATCTGCAGACGATACCACCGTATCCCCCAGTGAGCCGTTGCTGAAGCGCAGCGAGGTGCGCAGGTCTGCCTGCAGGCCCGTTTGCCGGCTGCAGACAGCGACAGTAGGCAGATGGACGGTACCCATGGACAAAAACTTGTGGGCAACGAAGAAATAGAGCGCTCGGTCGAAGCAACAATGTTTTGAGTAATGGTTGGTCTTGTATCAAAGTTCTAACTAAGGATGAGAATGAGAAGAGTTTTCTAGTCCAGCTGTTGCCAGCTGCATCGCCATGCCGTGCCTTCCCAACTCGGAAGTCTGACAAACGCCGCGCGCACTCGAACAAAGCGCAACACAAAAAGCGACACTGTTCATATATTCAGGTGTAGAGGTGGTAGAGATTGGTAAGTAGAAATTGAGTATGATATGTCATCATCGAATGATTAACAAACGCCCAGATATGATGACATGTCGTCGTAAATAGTATAATAAGTAAACACCCAAGAGTCGCCAAGATGCTAGCCAATGTATATTCTTGGGGAAGCGGCGCAGCCGCAAGATGCATAAAAAGAAACAGTGCTCGAAAATCACAGTGCATGCCCTTATTGAAGAGGCTCGTCAAGAGCGAGGTTCTGGTCTGCCAATCTCTACTTGGCAAACCAGGGAAACTTCTTCTTGGCTGGGTCAAAAACTCCAGTAGGGTTGCCGCTTTCCACCTCGATGCTCCTTTGGTATATTTCCTGGTACAGAGTCAGTCGGATACCCCCTTGTCATGGGTAGATTGTTACAACATACTTCATCATCAGTGGGCATGCGACAGCCCAGGATAAGCTCGCGAGTAAGCATATGCTTGGCCAGGTTCGGGTATGATGTGCCTTGGCTCTTCATTAGTGGCAGCAGGACATCTCCGAGAACTTCGAATTTTCTCCAGTTGACACGATCGCCATTTGGTCCAACAAATGTCTTACTGCCCTCTTCCGCGTTCACCAAGTCACGCAGGTGTAGAGGTACAAACGGAATGCGCGGGAGAGGCGAGTTCTCCCATGCGAGGCGGTACGCTGAATGGCTCTTTTGCGTGCTCATGAGAATCACAGCCCGAGCAAAGCGCTTCTGTACTTCAGGCGAGACAAGCTGCCTAGTTTGTGCCAGCCGGTGAATGGCAATTCCGTTGATGCCAGCAAGAACAGCAGCGAGGCCATTGTAGTTGTTGAGCTGACGGAGCTTGATGGCAACGTTCATAAATTTTTCCAGCATTTGCGCTCTGTGCTTGGCTTTGTCGCGAAGTAGAATCAGATTGGCGACCCATTTCGCAATATGGTTAAAGTGGTTAATCATACGATTCACATTCCTCAAACTTGCTGCCTTTCCTTTTTTCGTCGATGACAAATTGACATAACGAACAAAATCTCGGATTCTAATGGACGAAAATAGGATCCAGTCGATTCTTGTCAATTCGTCAGCAATCTCGTCATCTGACAAATCCATGAAGATGTGGTATCTCGTCTTGTTCATAGGATGCAGATCTGCCGGTTCAAGCGACGCTGCCTCTCGCTCATATTCATCGTAAGAGTGAAACTGCACTTGACCGCCAGGTTGGCCGGCAAAGTCGGCTGGCACAGGGGCCTCTGAACCCCGTTCGCCGTCTTGATCGATTTGAGCCATACCGATACTGGCGGACAGCTCATCCATCTCTTTCGATGATTCTTCGTCGTCGGAGTCTGAGCCGCTGTGGTCGGAAGTAGCCCAGCCCGTGTCATCGTCTTCGAGAGTGCTTTTCCACAGGCTTCTCCTCATCTGCTGAGAAGCAACAGAGAAGATGGGTTCTGCAGAGAGGTGTTGTATAAATTCAAACAAGCTTCTGCGGGTAGAAAACTTGGCAAAATCACCCGGATAGAGCGAAACCCACTTGGCGATAACCTCGATAATTCGCAATTGGGTGGCAGTCTTGGAGAGGTAGTGTGCTGTCTTGTCATCTCGTACGCGATCGAGACGCGATAAAATGGCAGAAAACAGCTCAGTCGGGGTGGTGAATTTGCGATATAAACACAGGAAGATGTCTGAAAAATTATTATCGGCCCGAGACAATCTCAGCGCAAGCAGGCGATCGACAAGCTCAGCCAAAGGAACTCCGCTCATCTTGGGCTGCTTCTCGACAAAATTATCTTCACCACGTTGAAGGATAGGGGTGTCGTCCGAATAGGTCTGCCCGTCGCTGTCAGACTCCTCAACGTCCAAGAAGTAGTCTGCACCGGCTTTCTCGTTTCGATAGGCCTGTCCAGAATTCTTGGAGGCGCGGGCTCGGTAGCTTTCACTGGATTGGGTTCCGAAGCCTTTCAAAGCAGACATTTCGGAGCTGGCACGGCTGTGCTTACTTTGTTGGCTGAGAGGACGTCCGGCAGATGTATCTGGAGCTTCGAGATTGACGGCCGATTGCGCGCGTCGGCGAGTAATGGTTTCGCTGTGCTCTGCGGTGCTGTTAGAATCATATTGGCATTGGCATGAAGGAGCAGGCATACCCTTTCTGTAGGTTATGGCGGCTTTCAGTATAGCTTGCAGACACGATCTTGATACATCTGCTTTGCCAGAAGACACTTTGTATGTCCCGATGCAGGACTTGAATATTTTATGGTTAGCAATTCCGTCAGCATCCAACTCCCAGTCGTCCTCGTCGGTTTCGCATTTGCAAGCAACCAAGATGGAGGGCAAGCCCGCATTCGTGATGGCAGCTACAGACAGTTAGGACTTGTGCAATAGTCTGGGTATTGCGGCGTAGCGATTCGAGACGTACTCATAGCTTGAGGAAGAGGTCGAACAGAGTCAGGATTGGTGACATCATATAGGACCAGAGCAGCGTCGGGGCGGGGCACAATGTGGCCGTTGATTTGCTTGGGCCATTGGATCGTCTGGGAAGAGGCGGTCTGGTCGAAATTCTCGAGGTCGAGTTCGAAAAGCGAAACCCCGTGCGTGACATTGTCGACAACGAGGCGAACGCTTGCGGAGCTACCGATGGGCGGCCTCGAAAGGCCTAGTACCTTTTGAATAAAGGTAGATTTGCCAGCGCCAGCAGAGCCGATGACGGCAATTGTGTAGCTTTCCATTGCAGCAATGGTATGCGCCTGGGTAAAAAGGGGGGGAGAAACGTTAGCTATTTGAGATAGACCACCATTGGTTCGAAAGAAAAAAAAAGGAACGCAGCCGCAATTGCTATCTTAACGAGGGCTGAACAGTACCCCGCGAGATGGTGGGTGGTGCGGCGCAAAGGCTGACCTCCGGCGCATACCGCATTTAACGGCAAGTCTGCACACAAAGGCGGGTTACACCTTGTGGCACATGGCAGGCAACAGCGCACAGCAGGAAGCAAGGCACGGCAAAAATACGTACCAGAGACAGCGGCGGAATTGGTCTTTTGTTTTTATTGAGAATTCTCGACGTGGGGGATGCCAACGTGAGCTGGCGGCGTTCTCATCGCCACCGGATTGATAGAAGCCGGGCGCAATGGAAGCGGAAGATGGCGGGCGACACGGAGTCCAAGGTCGCGTCGTAACCGTAACGCGAGAATATGTAGTCGTCGAGGATGATATACAAGCTCGCGATTGACGCTGTCGGGGGCCAAGAGCATCGGTCGAGGAATAGGCAGTCGTAAGCGTAATGGGAAGGAGAGCAGAGGCGGCTGCGGCGACGGCGTCGTCGGCAGTGATGGGGACAGAAGAGGCTACTACTGGCAAGTATTATGTGTAGTCCTTTTAGTACCTAGCAACGACGCGTAAAAAGCCAGGCTCAGAGAAGCCCAACGACGAAGATGCAAATGGCAAAGGCGGCGTCGGCGACGGCGACGGTAACGGCGCAGGCTGTATGACTGACCCCTGTTTTGGCGACAAGGCGCGGCGAGGCCCCGGAGGGCGGCGAGGATTAAAATTATCGGTTGATGCGCAGGCGTCGATGTGCGGCGGCCCGCAGAACGCGTACTTCAGGGTGTTGCGTCACCTGGCGCAGTTGGCTGGTAAGCTTGGAAAGTTCCATAGTAGCCCGGGCGCATCATTTATTCATCTCGCGCAGCCCGGACCAGCAGGGAGGGAGAAGGGACGAGTGGCGTAGAAAGAGAGATGAAGAGAGGGGAATCATGAGGCCATGTCAGGCAATGCGACAAGGGCAACAGGGCGACGATGGAATCAACGCAAAGAGACTCTTTTTTTAGGAAATAAAAAAACGTTGCCAGACGTTTGCAACTGGGCTGGGATCCATATTTGACCTTTGACAGCTGGGTCACTCCTTCAAATCATTTCTCCGGGCAATCGTGCTCGGCCCGCTCTTTGGTCGAGGACGAGCGCGTGCACAGAAGAATTCAAGAGGCAAACAGGCGAGAAGCATCAAAGTTGCCAAATGGAGGGAAGCGGAGGTGGGTGCAGGGATAGTGGCCATATCAGACATGGCCCCAAGCCAATGCCTGGCAGTCGTCATGAATCATGGCAAACGGCTAAAAAAAGGGCTTGACTTACCACTATTAATAAAGGGCAGTGAAGACTAGGATTTGCTGTTGCTGTCGTCCCGCGGATGATATTGCGCCCTGGTGGTAAATATATTCACGATCCTGGTTGAATTCGACAAGGGGGTTCAGAAGGCGATAGCCGGTAATAATACGCAAGGCGATGCCGACTCAAGGAGGCGGGATACCGAAAATTGCTTCGCCAGCAATATTCATCACACACTCTCTCTCTCTTCCTATGTTTCAGACATTTCACCGCAGCTGAAACCAAACATGGGATGCTGGAGCGAGAGGATAACGAGCGTTGACAAGGCCAGCAAGTCGCGCAAAGACAGGCGGGGGCGTTGGCCTCTGGGCGCTGTAGCGTGCTCAGAGTGTGGCGTGACCGTTTTAGCCTCCCTCGCGTCAACGGCGCAGGCTGAGAATAAAGGTCAAGCTGTTGCACTAGCTGTCTAGCTAGTTAGCTAGTCAAGTCGAGTAAGTAGACAGGCGTGCAAGCGTGTAACTTAGGGCCGCTGGATGGCCGTGTAGGTGGCCCAGTGTTATATAACTCGGAGGCGCCGAAAATAATGTCCCAATGTGGATGTCAGTCTGCCGCGGAGGTTTGAAAGATGCATGTGTGTGATCAAATTACACGGCTCACGCAAGAGAGGAGAGCAAAAAGCAAGTCAAGATTACAATGATGAGAAAGAGCCATCTTGGCCTGGTCATGGTCGAGCCGCTTCCCCCGAGAGCTCTCTGGCACAACAGGCTAGTCGGCCAACGAACCAATACTAGCTGACCAGCTGGCTGCCCCTCCTCTCCGATCCCTCCGAGGACCCCAGCCCGGCGGGTGTGGCCGGGCACACTGTACAGGTCATCGGTCGGATAAATAGACATAAGGCCTTGCGAGTGCGGGGAATGGTTTCCCATCGACAAGACAACGTGATGAGTCGGCTCCCTGCAGGAGTTCGTGATGCTTGCTGTCTTTATTGAAATTTGTCCCTATATTAACCTAGCTGTCCCGCTCTCTGTGAGAGCGCTGCCTAGCACGCAGGGAGGTATGGTCCCCCCGGAGCCCGTGAACAACAAGTGCCTATGATATCGTGATATTCCGCGGTTCTACGAATACAAGAAAAAGTACAACCATCTTTGTCTCAAATACCCCTGCAAGATGGCAGAATGCAGGCATCAGCCCCAAATCACATTGCTGCATCCTAGCACCAAGCAGGGTTACAATCGCTATCTAACCTTTTTGCTGGAAGCGATGGGTACGAAGCGAGGATTGTAGAGACCCCTTGGAAAGCAAAACTCCTTGCTGCATTTGAACTTGCCGCTGTCAATCCCTTCAGAGCTCGAGATCAAGGTCCGTTTCGTCGCTCGTATTTCAAACGCCACAAAGCCACAACGCTTCTACGCCATCAGCCCGCAAGAATGCAGCTGGTATTACAGTCGGCCAGAGAAGAACTGATGGCTGGCGTATGATGCCGAGCTCTCCAGCAACCCATGTTCAGCAGAGGCGAGGCGAGACAAGCAGCGCACCACATTTATGAGATGTCATAATCGACGGCCCGGAGCGGCGGGAGCAGCAAGCGGGGAACATCCCCCCTCGTTGCCAACTATTACCCGACACAAGGCAAGCAGAGTCTGATGCTTTGAGCCAGATCTATCGGTACTTAATGAGCGAGGGAAAATATTGGAAACGTCAAAATTGGACTGTTCGCCCTGGTCAGATAATCTTGGCTCAGAGGCAAAGCCTCCCACACAATTGATTGTAGGTCTGCGGTGTCAACAAACGGGCGATGATGACCTCGTTATCCTGCCGATGAACATGCAGACGCTATGCGGACATTAACGCATAAAATCCATGCCACCACCTACTCACTAATTAGTAATTATACACACATGGAAACTGGGCCCTTTTATCACCGATAGCAACCTGTTAGCTAATCTGCTGGTCAAGTTTGTACAGTCTATCGTCGAGCCGCCGAAACGCGCCTGTTTCATTTCCTGCGGTGGCGGAACCCCCCAGCGCAGGGAAGAGCGCAAAACTCCCAAAGCTGTTCACGTTATTGATGCACGGGCAAACCCTAACCGCTGCCGCCAGTCCACTTGCTGTGCGGTTATGGATCTCTCAGCCTGGTTGTCAGGCTGAAGTGAACAGATGATGCTAGGACCCGTTATTGGGTTTGTTTCTTCTTAACGGCCAACATCCGGTCGCCTCTACAAAGTAGCCAGCCATCTTTTTTAGACTTGGCCGTTAAAGCTCTGAACGTCCTGGTGTGAAGTTTGCGACCGTTTTCAGCTAGCCCGTGGCCAATTGATTCGAGGTTTATCCCTCCACCGGTTCTACCTGAACAGCGCTCGGTTGGCTCCGTGCCACGCGGGCATGCCCCGTTATTAAAAGCGTAAATGCAATATAGAGAGTAACTAGGTACCTATTCTTTATCAGCGCTACACCCAGAGGCCAAACATATTTATGAGATGCGACTGGCCACAGCAAATCTTTGCCGGCTGCCTGACGGCCTGGATAATGCCTGTTCTCTGTCGACGAGACAACGTCATAACAAGACATGGCTTTGATGGAGTAAACACAAGCAAACACCGGAAGGAAAAAGAAAAGGAGCACAAGACACACGCGCTGCGCTGCAAGGAGGATACCGTCGCTCGCAACGAATGTTGCCGAGCACATCACTAGGATAACGACCCGTCTACAACTGTTCGCCGCCGTCTGCTCATCGGGGAAATTGGTGGTGGGCCAAAGGAAAATTGAGGACGCCTCCCCACACGCGCATGCGAGGGCCGAGCCTCTAACTACGCAAGCACACAGATGGCCTTCATTTTTTTTCCCTTCTCGGCCAATATGCGTGTATACCAGATTTGCCCTTGGGGAAAAAGTGTAATACTCAGCTTAGCCAAGTCTGCGGGGCGATGCCACCTGTGCGACCCTCGACTGCTCAGGCGAGGCAACGTTAAAACGGTGAGTGAAGCCAAAGAATTGAACAATGGTATGTATCTGAGAGGCGGATGGCGAGACTTGAGGGGCCTTTGCGTCTCATCATGTCCGGAAATCTTGCTGTTGCAAGTCAGCTTTTTGATATCGTAGACCAGAGCTATCAAACGGCAAAGACAATAAGACTACTGCGTTCCCCCAAAAAAAAAATATTTATCATCATTCTTTTTTTTATAGCGTTTGATGCTGTCGATTCTCTCGTCGTTCCATCAGCTTGCGGGGCATATTGAAGGGAGAGAGTCTTCCCTCGGCAACCTCACAGTCACCCCGCTAGTGAAATCTGGCCTGGAGCTGGGGGACGTGCGTTGCCATGTTTTCTTCTCTTCAATTCTTATGCCGCCGGCAAGGAGATTTCAATTGATGATGTCCCACGTAGTCTACAGATAATAACGCTTGCATGGGATGGGGAGGGGGCATGGCACCAGTCCGCCCATGCCATGACAAATTGTCGAAGATGTCTCGGCTGTTTGATGCAATGCACCTCTGCGCTGTACTTTTTAGTTACCGGTCTATGGTGCAACATACAGCATGCAGAGTCATTCTGATATGGTGAATCGCTGTCGTGAACTCGTATTTGAGCAACGCCGCCCGTCCTGGGCTTTTTAACCACCTGACCCCGTTTCGCTGCCGAGTCAATCCATGCAACGCCGCAGCGCGCCAAAACAGTGTGAGGCGCTTTTGTGGCTTCATTCAGTTTGCTAGTTGACATCTTGACTAACGACTGGAGAGGTTCAGCAAATTAAGTATTTTTTTTTGTTTCTTTTTTCTCGCTTTTTGTCTTTTTCCCGAAAAAACGTACCAGTGCCTTTTTAACTTCATGTGCCATCGTGCCATCACGAACGGGTCTTGCCAATAAGGGCGTCCACAACTACATCCACTTCTCACCGCGACCGTCCGCCCACCGCTCTCCGTAACGTCCCCGCGATGGTAAAGTAGTTAGCGTTGGCACTAAATTAGCGTTGCTTCCATTTATTCCTATTGGCACGCATACAATAATAATAAGAGACATAGGCGGCCTGAGCCGGATTACTTCAAGAAACAAAGGCGGACAAGAAGACAAGGTGAATCATTCACACCACCCAGTCCTCTGCAGACACCGCGACAAGCCGTTGAAGAAAGCAAGCATAGGCTCGGTGCCTGTCATTGTGCAGCACCGCCTTGGTTGCTCCCATCTTACAGAAGACCTCACGGGCCTCTCTTGGTCATCCCAATTCTTGCCTTTTTGTGACCTGTCGTCCAAGGGCGAACGAACCTGGTTTAGATGGTGGCTTTTTCCTCCCCGCCCCGGGCGGATCGACATGATCTCGTGCCAAAAGCAAGTCTCCAACTGTGATGCCGGCTCCCCTTGTAGTACCTAGTTGGGCGCTTGCCAGCGGCCTCATAATGGCCACACCCCACCGCAGCGCTATTTCCCGGTCCTCAACTCAATCTCTCCCTTTAAAGTTTTATTTTTTCAAATCGCCTCTTTTGTAGAGTCTCGCTTTTAGTTTCAAGCGCTAGCAGACTGGACTTGCCCGCTTCATACCTTGTTCTTGACTGGAGCTTATATACAGTGGTCTGTTCCCGCCTCGGCAGTCGCCCACAGCGGGAGAGGACCCTCCCTCAACGACACCTTCGCCTGCCGCCGAACCCTCGAGTTATATTATCCATTGACATCCTAAACTCCTCCTACAAGCACCACTATCATCCCTAAGAAAACCTCTACACGGCCATCTTTTCCTGTCGTCAGAGACTGTTGTCCCTCTTCTCTCTCTACTTCCTACCGTTCCTGTGCAAGGGCTCTGGCGCAACCATCTACGCCCAAGCCGATCCTGCAGTTCATCAGGCTTGGGCGCCTGCTCTAACCGACAAGGATATTCCCCGCAGCCGATATCGTTGTGGCTTTTTCTGGCCGTTTGAAGGAAGAGGAGTAAGAGCAGGTGCCGCTTCTCACCAAGACATTTTCGTCTGCTCAAGACGTCTGTCTCAGTTTCTTCTTGCGTGAGACTCTGCTCGGCTGCATCTTCCGCCCTCGTCACACATCGCACAGCAGTTTCGTCCTCACGATCGCTGCCACACTCGACGTTGCTCATCGGCCGCCGTTGCTCTTCTACTATACAGACTGACACGAGATCAACGGTTTGGCGCCAATCAAGCAGTGGCACGTCTCTCACCTACAAAAATAGACACCTATCCATTCGCAGCGCCTTGAACATACCGGCGAAGAAACAAAAAGGGACAACAACGGAAAAGAAACGACACAGGGAATATGCATTACAACATGAGCTACGCCTACAACCTCCAAGCCACTCAGCCGGATCGCTCTGCCCATGCTAACGCCGCCGGCCTGAAGCCACCGAGACCTAAAGCCGCGGCGCATAGACGCGCTCTGGACCCTGAAGACCTCACCAGGCGCCTCCAATTTGTCATTGCCGAGCGCAAGGCCCACGATGACAAGAGACGCAAGTCGCGCATGGTGCAATCCTCGGCAAAGACCTTTCGCACGCAAGAGACGAGTGAAGCAAAGTCGCTCCACCGCCGAACACTGACGCTCGATTCGTCCAAGGAGAGACGCAGGACAAAGGGTGCCGACCACCATAGTGAGAACAGTCTGGCGGCGCGCTTTCGCCGGCGCGCCTCGAAAACGGCCCTCGATGAACAGCTCTCGTTGAACCTCGCATCTTCGGATGGCCCATATGTCCCACGGGTCGCAGCTTCGCAATTTGCCAACACAACACTAGGAGAATCGCCCCCGGACAAATCCCAAATTCACAGGCTTTCGCGGGCGGCACTCAAATATCACATGGATGGCATCAACGGCGACTACCAGGTAGCCTCCACAGCCGTGCCTGGTGCCGCGCCCATTGAGCAGGCCAAGGCTCTGCGCCGCGCCCAGACCTTGAGAGAGAAGAATTACGATCGCAACCAGTTTCAGACCTTCTCCATGCCTGAAAACTTGGAACCCGTCATCACGTCGCCGCTGAACCGGCGTCGTAGCATCTTCACCGCGCATCACCCGGAAGAGAAGCAGCTTCGCGCATCTCGCCGCAAGAGCACCGGAAGCTTCGTTGGCACCGATACGTCGCCCCGGTGCTCCGTCTTCCTGCCACCGATGAACGCCACGGATTTGGCAACCGTCGCCGAAGCGCATCGAGTCGATTGGACCCAGAGCGACGAGGTGGCCGCCAATTCACCGCCACGTCCCAAATCTACCTCGCCGGCGCAAAGCGAGTCCAAGTGGAGTTTTCGCGGCCGTCTCAACAGCTTGCACAGAACCAAGGAGGAAAAGAGCCCCTCGCCGCCGATCGATGCCGTGGAAGTGCCAAAATCGCCCATAGCAGCCTTCTTCGCTCGGTTCAGGCGGTAATTTGTCAAGGCCTGCACAATATAAAATGGAATGATGTACATGATGACGACGCCCAATGATTCGGTGGAAGAAGCTCGGTCTAGCGTCCAATATGTCTTTAGTCGATACCCCCATGATTAGGAAGCAAATGATATACCGAGGCAATCATAGCCCTCGTTCCCGTTCTTCACCGTTTGCTCTCCTCGTGCATTAGTCGTTCAATAAGTTCTGAATCCTCTGTCGCAGCTTGCCTCTGCAGCAGAGCGGATGCGTCGGCCTGCCCGTTCATCAGATGCATGATGAGCTCGCAGTATTCCTCAACGCCCTCTCCCGAAACACCGCCTGCTTTGCGGGCCTTTCGCAGGGCTTCCTTTCCTTTCTTGATCCCCACATCATGGTTCCAGCTCTCCTTTTTACTCGGTAATCCCCTCAGCAGCGAGGCAGGGATGCCGCCGTCGTTTTGCGTCGACTCGGTAGGCGGTTGCATGGCGGCGTAAATGTCGGCGAGCTGCTGCGGCAAGCCGGGGTACCTGGAGAAGAGCATCTGCAGCTTATCAGAAGCCGAGTCAAGAGCGCCAAATGGGTTGCTCCTGTCATTGGCTTTGGTGGGTGCTGCGGCGGCGACAGTCGTAGTCGTCGCGGCTTGTGGTGTCTCAGCGGGTGTCGGTTCGGGATCCGGGGGGTGAGTTTCGCGATGCACTTTGTTGCATGTCACGGAGCAGCTGCGGGTTGGACAGGGCGTTAGCGAGCGTTTGCATGTATCACCGAAGCATCGTTGCGAGCTGTCGCGCCGGGGCTCGTCTCCAACTTACTAGGGCAGGTAGCATCTGGGGCATTTGTATTTGGGCGGTTCCTTTTGGCAGACTCCGCACAGAGATTTTAGCGATTGATCTGCTGGAGCTTGCGCCGATTCGCTATGTTGCACCGATTTGGCGTCGCCGGGCGAAGACATGACTGTGACTGATGGCTGGAGTTGCGCAAAGAGCTCCCGTTGTCGCGGAGAAAACGTGAGAACAAAGACGCTGACGGTGAGATGTAGAGATATAAAATAGTGTCTAAACTAAATAGGAGAACCGAAGCTTCGCTTGCAAGTGGTTCTGCACAGCCCTATGTAAATAGTTGGATTGTTGGAGTAAAGGGAAAAAAGTCGAAGGGCAAACGGCAAAAGCTCCGCAAAAGCTCCGCAAACGCCGCGAGAGAGGTACTATTGTATCCTTCTTCTTTTGCTGCAGCCCGATTATCGGGTCTTGCATCATAGCTCCACCATTACTAATGAGCTCTCAACCATACGCCCTCGACTTCTTATCTCGGAGTGGACTGCCCCCATTGTATGACTTGAACACATGCACGCAGGCGCATCGTCATTATCTACCCGCCTCTTTTCAATCCAACAACCAACCAGTTCACTTCTGCAAGAAATTACTATTTTCAGTCGCTCTACGCTGCACATCACAATGGCCGCCGCGTCCACCCCGTCGCGGTCCGTCCTCGCCCGCGCCCTCCTCCGCTCGGCTACCTCTCGGCCGGTGGCGACATGTCCGATGCAGCTGCGGCAGAGCCTCCGCGCGGTCGCGGCCTCCTCCTCCTCCTCCTCATCTTCCTCGCAAGGCCACCGCTCGCGCGCTATGAGCACCGCCGCCGTCTCTTCATCACAATCGCGCGGTACACGGCGCCCGCAAGCCCATGCCCTCGGGCGCACTCCTCAGCATCCTAGCGCCGCCGCCGTCGCACGCCGCACCATCTTCATCCAGACCGAGCCCACGCCCAACAGCGACGCGCTCAAGTTCCTGCCCAACCACCGCGTGCTCCCCGAGGGCTTCGCCGCGCCCTTTGTCGAGTATATGAGTCCGCGCGCGACCATTGCCCCGCCACACCCTTCGCCGCTCGCCGCCAAGCTCATGAACATTGACGGCGTCACGTCCGTCTTTTACGGCGCCGACTTCATCACCATCACAAAGGCCAGCGACGCTAACTGGGCCCACATCCGGCCGGAAATTTTCGCCCTTATCACCGAGGCCATCACCTCGGGCGAGACCATTGTCACCTATAAGGAGGCGCCTGTGGGCGCTGGGGCCGCGCCCGCGGAGGAGCAGGCCGACAGTCTAGCCTACGACGAAGATGACGACGAAGTTGTGGGCATGATCAAGGAGCTTCTGGAGACGAGGATCCGGCCCGCCATCCAGGAAGACGGCGGCGACATTGAGTTTCGCGGCTTCGGCGACGACGGGTTCGTCAACCTGAAGCTTCGAGGCGCGTGTCGAACGTGCGACTCGAGTACGGTGACGCTGAAGAATGGTATTGAGGGTATGCTCATGCACTACGTAAGTTTTGACTTTTTTTTCGCGCCTTTGATGTAAAGTTCACAGCCACTAACGTGCAAGCAGATTGAGGAAGTCAAGGGCGTCCGCCAGATTCTCGACGAGGAGGAAGAGATTTCTCTGCAAGAATTCGCCAAGTTTGAAGAAAAATTGAAGCAACAAAAGGGTGTTGCCCAAAGTGCATAGATTGGAGAGAAGAAAGAGAAAGAAGAAAGAGAAAGAGGAAGCAAGCATTGTTTCTCCAGAGGCCTTTCTAGAGAAGCCATTCTAGATTCATCCGACTGTATTATTTATCATGCCTGGACGTTTTGTTTCGGGTCATTATCAACGACATAGTTACTCCCAAAGAAGGCTGCATTCATTCGCAAGTAGAACGACGGCAGCAAAATTGACATTAATTTAATCTCAGTCTTGTAAGTGCAGACTATCGCCTATGATGGCTTCGCCTCTCTGTTTCTGATCCCTTGATCAGAAATGCAAGATTTTTCTTTGCTCAGAATAGCTATGAATGGGTTCGCTGGTTGTCTCCCGACTGCCAGGTTACTCAAATAGGACGCCGAGGACTTGGGTCTGTCGTTTGCTCAGCCATTCAGACCGACAGAATACGGAGTAGCCTTTAGCTCCTACAAGGGTACTTCGAGACAGCAAGCTGCCCATGAAGTCGTCGAAACCGTTGAAAGATGAAAGCTAAAATTTTAGTTGAGCTAGTGTGCAGGGTCTAAATTATTCTCGTGCGTTACTACAATAGTTGGGCTTTGTATGTGAATACCAGTCAGATGGTCGACGACGCAGGCACAAAGCAACGTCTTACTAGAACTTGGAGGTAATCCGTGCCTTCGTGTGATTGATTCCTCAAATGACCCCGACTTTGACTGAAGATTTGTTTCATCCATCTTTTTGGCTGCTCCGAGACACATCTGCCGCGATTCAAGCCTCGAACAACTTTGCACCGTCTCAGAAGCCGCCTGCACGTTCCATGTGGGCCTGCATTGAAGCCAGAAAGAGTGCAGGGGCCAACCAGAGAAGCAGATAATTCATACATGGCATCCAGCTGACTAGAGAGCTTTGTGGCTTTATAGTTTGATGCGCCGTCACCAGACCTCTGGTCGGGGGCCACCTGACTGGTTCAACGGCGAGGGCTGGACCAGGGTGTGGGTAGCAGGCGGGGGTTCTGGATCCGTGGTCGATTGTGCGGGGTGCCGACGATCTCCCCCAGACTTGGTCAGCAATGAGGTTGCCCGTCTTGCCCTCCGTGCCTCCTTGCCGCAATGGGGCGGGACAAGCTTTCTAATTGCAACGGCTGACTTGTCTTCAGCCCTCGAGGCCGCGTTGAGAGCGCTGCGATATCGATACTCGTTATATAGGGGGGGGGGAAACTGCAGCCTTCGAAACTAGCCGACGCATATATCGTGCGAGATGGATGCATCATTCAGTATGTACGCCAACTCTCGGTCAAAGTAGGGTGCAACAGATCGAGGTCGGAATTTTAAGCTGAAGCCATTACATTGCACATCATGTTAGCTTGTGCGGAATCCGTTCGGAGTAGCACTTTGGAGAGCCATTGCCATGCATGCATCCACACGAGCAGCGAGGCAAGTGTCCTCGTGCTGTCTTGACCTTCATCCACATTCATCCTACCGCCATGCAAAGCGCTTCTCTACCACTCTGTTTCCGAGACGAGGCATCTGCCCGAGTGGCGTGTATGCCCTTTTCAAACCCCAGTGTAACTCGTGTAATGGGGCCCGTGCTGGCTTGCTCGCTCAGGTTACCAAGTGCTCGGCGTGGCTATCCACAGACCTAGAACAAGTTGGTCCTGCTTGACGCAGGTCTCCCTGTGTTGATGCTTTGCCGATCGATCGTATCTCGGCAGTGTAGCAAAACAGCAATTACAAGACCTGCTCAAGGCAGCGCATGCTGCACTCTGATCGTTCAAAGACCCTCTTGCGGCAATGGTTTGATAATCAGCCATCAGCAGCCCCTTGACTATGTATTGTACTCGACCTGATCCTCGATCCCACAGCGCGTAGTGCCATGCGCACTGTGAAAAGACGGGCAACGTCAGTTGTCACACTTGCAACCTGCAGGGAAGCTGCGCTGAGTGAAATGAGAATGCATGGGCTTATGCAGGTGGACTTTATTGGTACTCCATTACGCATGCGACGCAGCGTGGCAGCAAAGATAGGTAAGAGTCGGATAGTGAGGTGCCTGGGACAGTTGAGCTTGACTAAGACACGAGCTTGAGCAAAAACAGAACTGTCAATCAGACTCGGGTGTTTGCGCTGGGCGGTCAGGTATTGGCCCCCTTGTTCACCTAATAAGCAAAGCTGTCATGGATCCCTAATTTAGCGATGCTTCTGTACGAGGAACCTAGCGCAGGGCGGTGGTGTCGGCCGCCAATCTTTTGGTCAAAGCCCTGAAGCCTCTAGCAGTTTTTAACATAGGGAAAGTCAAGTGTCTCGGCTGCCTATTTAAGTCTTTCCTTTTTCTTTTTTTCCTGGCCTGAAAAAGTTTCGTCGTCGTCGTTGTCGTCGGTCTTGTCCTGCAAAGCTTGCACAACACGCCACTGAAGAAGAGACGAAAGCTGCAGGTAATAGAGTGGCGTTCTGCGGACTGGTGCTGTGTACTTCACAACCTCGGTACCTAGCCATGGTATTGAATATATCAGTGTGGACTGAGCATTAGCATCTGGCAACAATCTTGGCAGATGCACAGGCTCAATGATTCGGAGCATTTCCCGTATTGGACACAATGACAACGGGCGCTGGTTGCTGCAAGATGCAGCCGCCGCATCGCAGGAATGGAGTTTGATGCGCTGCAGGGTGAGCAATATGGGATGGGCCACAACCCAGTAGTGTAAGCAAGACAGTTGGCCCGGCAGTTGGCCAGGTTTCAAGCGACGACCAATTAATTACCAGATTGCAGGCCATCGAGAAATAGCGTGTTTATATTTTTGCGTACACAGTTGCACTATTTGGGCGTTTTTTGGCCTACAAGTGGCGTTGAACTACAAGCATGCAATGCCGTTGTGCAGCGTGTTGCATCCAATACATGAGCTGGACTTGATTATCCCCTTCTGACGCCGCATATAGGGGTACTTTGGTACCAGGTTCACGGGCTGAGCCTTGACTCCGTTCGCCGCAGCGCATCGACCAGTTGCGGGTGCAGAATTTCGCCTCCGGCTTTGTTGTCCCGGCCGTCCAGACCTGTTGCTTGCATCGTGTAGCCATCAATAATTGTGCAGGGTGGATGCGCGTATCAGTGGACAGAAGCAGCCAAGCAGCGCTGCCTTGCATACAGCCGGCCCTTGGCTTTGTCCACCGGGGCATGGGGCACAAGTCCTGCCGATTTGACGGCGATGCAACGCAGCGGACGAGGACATTTTTTATGAGTAGTTACCGAGCGCCGCGTGCCGGCTGCAGAATTGCACATGGGAGGCAAGGAGGGTCGTTGTCGCCGGTGCACTGAGAATTGGTGTGGCAGACATTGCGGGCACGCGCTATTTGGAGGGCTCAAGAGATGGTGCACGGCACGACTCGTTTCGACGCTGGAAGACTGGAAAGGCCGGTTAGAACTTTGACAGAAGGCTACTTCTGGAATCAGATTAGCATGTGTTGGGGCAAGATGCACGGAATACACCGCGAGCCATAATTAGGAAAAAGAAGCATTAGGAGCAGAAGCAACCCCGCCAACCAGTGCGTGCCAGTCCTTGACTAACTAACTAGGTAGAAGAGTAAGATAGTTTGAGGTCGCTGGGGTCGGAGCTAAAACCGGGCTGATTGAGCCCCTCTTTGCATCAGGCCGTCCTCCACAAAGCTATTTCGCGGATCGCCAAGCATCGAGTTGGTGCTTTCCTGCCGTTGGCAGAGCAAGCAGCAAGGTGGAAATACACACGGCGACGTGGGACGCTAAAAAGGAGGGCAAGTGGGGCAATGTCCGTGACAGCAACTTGAGGAACCCCAGTTTAGCCCGGTTGAGGGCGCAAATGGCAAGCGGTTTGGTTTGGCGGGCATCCACCGCCCCAATGTCTCTCCAAGCCCTGGTGGTTAGTTAGTGGCCAGGTATCACAATATAACCTTGCCCAAGGCAAGGCTGCGAACACCCTAAAAATACCACGACTGGTTGATGTAAAAAGAAGAGAAAAATCGTGAGTGTCAAGGGGAACAAGACGAGTGCCTCAGTCCTTGTTTTACGATCAATCTCGGGCTATGACTCCTACCTATACATCATCTGCAGACACTTGCCTCCCAACTCCCTAGGTACCTGAGCACCTATCTACACGGCAGGCACCCTCTTGACTGGCGTCCCGACAATACCTATTTCTTCTCCTCATTCTGCGTTACGAACCCACTCCAAATCCCCCCCAAAAACCGTCGGCAGGTACCTTCCAATAGATGGCCACCTCCTAAAAAGCTTGCCCCAGCCACCATCCCACTAGCCCTGTAGCAGCAATAGCGCACCCTTGACCCTCTGCCACGGCTTCGTCTCCCCACTTGTTCTGGGCTAATTCGCCTCCATTTTTGAACAACCTCAAGTTGTCTTGCTCAGTTGCTGCTCCTCTTCTCTCCTAGCCTCGCAACTCGCTACCACCTGTCCGCTGTCCTCTTTCTCTGTCGCAGCTTTCATCCCGTCTCCCCCGCTTTCCACCCTCGTGCTCATCCATTCCACATACATCTTCCTTTCTCGTTCCTTCCCATTATCCTCTTCTTTTGATTTATCCCTACTTCTTCCCACAACCAGTTCTCGCAGCCACTCCTTCCTCTTTCGCCTGGTTTGGCTCCGTTCGCCACTTTCGACCGCCTGACGCGCCCGCCAAAGTTTCTTCTCAGGCGCCGATCACCTGTCCGCGACCCGACGTTGCGCAGTCTTCTTCGCAGCGCACAAAACAATTCCCGTCGTCTCTGCCCAACTCTCTTGCTCGTCAGACTATGCAAACCGACTAGAGCTTCGTCTTTCTACCAGTCCCGCACCCCTTCTCGCGCCGCACTCGCCCTGGCCTTCCGGTGCTTTTGCATGGACACTGGTCTCCGTCGCCTCGTTCTCATGCGCCTTATTACTATACGCCACAATCTATAATCGCGCTGCAACTAGACACGCATCGATTTTTAGACGCCTCTTTACCCCTCCCGATTTCTTCATACCATTAATCCACCGCCCGTGACGCAGTTGCCCGCCACCTCGACTCACCCACCAACCGCCCTTACTGTTGCTCGTCACCACCTACTCCCACGTTCAGAGTCGGCCGCGCACCTACTCTTTTGCGCTTGGCTGCTTTGGCAAATAAACCCCCAACTATTTACTCTTTATTATCCATGCTACGAAGCCGTACTGGCGCTTTCAGGCAACCGACGACTGCGATATAGCCGCCGCAACCAACGCTCGCCTTTACCCAGCCACATCTGCTGCAAACATCACCCTCCTTCATTGTCGCGTCTACAATGAGCAGTGGCATCAAACCGAATCAATCTGGTAAGCTGTCGCACGCTCCTGGCAGTCAGAGTCTGCTGCTGGAAAAGGCTCGCGTCAGAACTTCTACCCCAGATTCCGAGGCGCTTGCAAGCTCAGAGGACGAAGGCGATCATCGCCAGGACTTCGTTGTTACCCAGCCCCATAAGCCAGCCCGCAGATCATCTTGGTTAAACGATACCTCGCAGCCTTTGCCTCGGCCCCGGCAAGGCTCTTTCGCCAGCAACACCGTCTCGTCTCCCAACGCGTCGCACCCTTCTACGCCCTCAGCGGACAACACTGCTGGACCCTGGGGTTCTCATTCAGCTTCTTCCGCAATGTCTCGTCCTCCCGGTGCATCTTCGTTCCCCTGGGGAACAGGTATTTGGAACAACGATCGCAAGGATCCTCCATCCAGACTGACCGAAGTTTTGCCCTCGCCTACATCGACCGTGCCTCCTGGTACTGCTGGCAACTCGTTCTTTAGTCCAGATCAGGGACTCGCGCAAACCTCTCCCTCACGAGACCAAGGACAAAACAGCCAGATTCCGTTCGCTATACCGCTTCACCCAACCCCCAAAACGTACCGATCGCAGTCATACTCGGTGGGCCAGATGGAGCTAGAAGCGCCCACTTCCTCGGGCATGAGCTCTTCTGCGATTCTTGGTCGCGCGAGGCATCATCCTGCTCTGCAGCATCGTCCTTCTCGCCCTAGTATGCTGAGTGAAATGTCCAACGATGGATCCCTCCTAGGCAAGGTCAAGGAAGTCGAGGACGACGAAGACGAGAGTGCTAGCGAATCTCTGCAAAACTCGTTCCACCAGAGCGCTGAGTCCAAGACTATTGAGATGCTCACCAGAGAAAATGCTTTGTTGCGCCAACAGCAATTTACACGCATTCGACCCCGCGCTTCCACGGGTGCGTCTTATTTGACCAATGGACATCCCCTCCACGAAGTCGTACTCGAAGAGTCCGATTACGCCATTGACGAGCTCGACGAGAATCAAGACCCAAAGGACCCTATGGGCCGCCGTGCGTCGCACCGTCGCATGAGTGAGTATGGTCCTCCAACCTATCGAACTCCTCATGGCATGGAAGGTCGCAAGTTGGAAAATGCTCAACTCAAAAAAGCCCTTTGGTCAAGCTCGCCGAGTTACTCATTGGGCGATCCTTCACAGAGCAGGCGCCACTCTTTTGCCAACATGCCAACTCGCCAAGGATCCATTAGCTCTATTGCAGACTCTGTTGCAACTCTCGAGGCCGCTCAGGCCGATCAGCAGTCGGTGCATTATGGTGGTAGCTTCCAGGATCCTGCTACCTTGATGGGTTTGAGCAACCCAATGAATTCGCACGTCAATAGCATGAGCAGTGCGATGCAGGCCAACTTCACCAACCCATTCGCAGGCCAATTTGCTCCACAAAACCAGTTTCAAAACCGCCCGCCGTCACCCCGCCACATGTATGGTATAGGTCAGCCTCGCCTTAACCAGCTGCTGCATGTTGTTCTTTTCAAGTGCGCCAGAGCCGATGTTTTCTATATTCAGGAAGGAACTGGTCTTACAGTCAAGCCTGGAGACCTCGTAATTGTCGAGGCAGATCGAGGCACTGATCTGGGCACTGTCGCAAAAGACAATGTAGACTGGCAAACTGCGAAGGATCTCAAGGAGCACTACGCAGAGGAACAATACAAGTGGCTTATGATGTATTCTCAAGGCGCTGCCGCTGCTCAAGAGGGCAATGGTGGAATGTTGTCTGCTGCTCATGGCTTGCCCGGTAGCGCTGTGGGAGGCATGGGCCCAGCCGGCCAGCATCACATGCAAGAACCACCTAACGGTGAGATCCGCCCAAAGCTCATCAAGCGCCTTGCCCAGAATCACGAGGTGCACGCGCTCCGAGACAAGGAAGGCCAGGAGGCCAAAGCGAAGAGAGTCTGTATGCAGAAAGTCAAGGAGCACGGGCTCAACATGGAGATTCTTGATGCCGAGTTCCAGATGTAAGCTGTTCCAGGGACAGGAACTTGAGTCGTTTTGCTAATCTGGAGATAGGGACTGGAAAAAGCTAACCTTTTACTACTTTGCCGATGCTTACATCAATTTCAACTCTCTTGTGACGGACTTGTTCAAGATTTACAAGACAAGAATCTGGATGTCGGCCATCAATCCAGCATCGTTTGCCAGCCCTACTTTGGGCATCCAGGCACCGAGCGGAGTAGGACCCGGCGCGGTCAACCAGGGCAGGGCTTCCGCCACCGGTGATCGCAGAGGAAATACGCATCAGCATGAGCAGCAACAGCAGCCACCTCCCCAACCAGTGCAAGCCATCTCACCAGGCCCTCAGGGTCGCGGCATGCGTCCCGGCTCAGGTGCAGGCGGTTTCAACCAGCCATCTATGGGGCTGGACCGGCATGTGTCTCCTGTGCCCGCCACTGGTTACCCCAATTCGAATTACGCATTTGCTCCTGCGGGTGCTTTTGGCAATGCGAGACCGCCGCACGCCCTTTATAACACTGGCTCTTCTCCTGGCATGGAAGGAGTTTCTGGTGGATTCCAGCATCCGGGAGATTTTCAAGCACCACATCGGCGCTTTCACCCTGGACAAGGTGAAGGGGGGCCTCAACACCACTTGCAGCGCGGCTCGCCCATGTCCACCCAGGGAGACTGGTCTGCCGCATTTCAGGGGCTTTCCCTCAACACTCATTAATAGCAATTTCGAGGACAGGCGAGGATTTATCTTCGATTTTTGTGTACTTTGTTGTCAGCAATCCTCGTATTTGTTCTCTCCTCACGGCCAAGCAAAATGATTTCTACATATGCGAAAGACAAAATATCGAAAATTAAAAAGAAAGACGGACGGTATGGGGCAGATATGGGCCTACGACTCGCAAAAGCAGTTTTACCAATGGGATTTTGGTTTGGGACGGCGTCTGACAATTTTATACCTGCTGGACAAAGACATTTGGATCATTCATTTCGCTAAGACTTTACTTTCGGGCGCGCGGATCGTTTTCAATATTGTTTTTTGTTTTCGCTTGCGCCCGTTCTGCCCTTTTGCCCCCTTCATTTCGCTGCGTTTTTATCAGCGTCTCGTGGTCACCAAGTTATGGTGACATAACACACCTCTGGCTCTCACAGCGCAAGAGCCAGCCAAATTGTTACTGGATAATAGCGGTGGAAATAAGAGCAATACCGGAAAGATTGAGACGAAGAACAGACACGACCTTGTTTTCCTTTCATTCTGAATTTTCTTCTTGTTTCATTATCTCTTATTTGCTTATTTTGCGGTTTTTAAAAGGGCTCAAAGAAACTATAGATCAAGAATGGCGGTTGGGGATTTGGAGATGTTGATTTTGTGGTAAGACCTCTGGCTGCACCTCACGACAGACTAATGTGCAGCCAGAAGGGCTTCCAGACTAGAGAACTCAGCAGCGATGGACTAGCCGTCTAATACTGTCTGTGTATAGCAAACACGCTTATGAAATTGATTTTCTTTTGATTCTTGCGCAGTAATCATTGGACACGTTATGCAAATTCGCATGGATCACGTGTGGACATCATGGTGGCAGCTGTCGACAGCTGCTCTCCCAATCCAGTCGGCACTTTGCCGGATTCAAACGTCTTGTGCAGATAAGGAGCGTCATCCGCTAGTGTACTACGTTTTTTTACTTGGCTGCTTGAAGATCAACAGTCTTAATTGGCAAATCTTGGAGACGATCGCTACCAAGTCTTATACAACCACGGACAGCATGGCGCAAACGGGCTCGCGCAAACGAGGTCGAGCGACAGCAGGTAAGCCTACACTCCGCGAAAGTGTTCATCACAAGTCGCACCAATTTCTTTGCCGCCTTGTTTAGCCTATCTTTTGTAGATTCGGTCGACTCTGATCAACCCAGCAATTCCAAAAGAGCCAATGCGGCGACGAGGAGATCAACAAGGTCTGCAAAAGATCGTGAAGCCGGCAAGAGCCTGGGTGGGAAAACGTGAGACTCGATGATGCCCGCCATTTATCTGGCTTCTGAACCTGTATTCACATTGATGCCAGCTTACAGGGTGCCATCAAAGCAGCAAAGCAGAGTCGCAAAGGAGCAGTCGATGCCATCGAAGAGATTCGAGCAAAGGGAGACGAAGTATTCCTCGCAATTGATAGCGAGCGTCGCAGATTCAAGTGAGTCATCCAAACCAAGATGTAAAGCAATCACACCGGTGGTTGGTGCTGAATATCCTACAGTGATGGCCATCGCGGCAGAGCAGACGGAAGCTTTGCCGATTCGCTCGCTACCGAGCGTGCGCTACACTCGCATGACCCGATCGCGGGCTGCGAGGCCTTTGAAGAGGCCAAGAGAGCCCTGCAGAAATTCCACTTACTCATGGCTCGCTACGACGCCGTCGACAGACAAGCTTCGGGTCCTGCAGAACCACGATGGATGCGCTGGAAGCAGGACGTCGTCGACCTTAACGCCCTCAACGGCAAGGCCAAGAGGCTCGCCCGCCAGATGACAGAAGGACACTTGGCTCCGACTGGCTGGCCCGACTTGGCGGGTCCGCAGACGGGTGGTGAAGATCAGGAGCTGGCGCAGATTGCCATGGAGATCTTGGACGAGGCGATGCCCAAGGGCACCGCAACATGGGGGACCGCGGCGGCCCAGCTCGTCGATGTCTACGGGCGCATGCTCAAGGATACTTTTTGAGTCAAAGGACGTGTAAACGTGATGGGAAACATGTAACGATGGTGTTCTGTGATGGCTGACTGCACAATGGAGTCTACTTGCTTTGGGTTGGTGTCGGACGTTGGTGGACAGCTTAGCTACTCTTCTATTAAATATGCATAAAATACATAACTGAGCTAACCCCACCATCTTCAAGCCAATCTAGATTAGCATAAAAGAGCAAAGTTGCTTTCCGACGGCTCCACTCCACAAACCAGCGGCAGCATTACCTAATAATAGATGACTCAGCAGAAAGTTCGAGGGCAGGCAGACAAGGGCAAGGCGGGGATGGTGCTAGGGTACTAGTTACCAAATCAGACTAGCGCGTCGCTTAGCCCACACAATGCTAGCAATTTTTTGACCTACACTTTTCCCGTCGCACCAGTGGGCAGCACTTTTTGAAATTTCTCCCTCGTTATCGCTCTACTAACCCACGGCAGGAACACCATCACCACATAAGCCGGTATGTCCTTTTCTACAATACGCCTCAATCGACTAGAACTCGCGCTCGATAATACAATCGCCTCATTGATTCGACGAGAGTTTCTTTCGATTGAGGTTCCCGCGAGTTGTCGTGGCCAAAACGCCGTCGTTGCTAATGTTGGGACACAGCAAAAATGGGTGCCCTCAAGTATGTCGAGGAACTTCAGAAGAAGAAGCAGTCCGATGTGATGCGCTTCCTTCTCCGTGTTCGCTGCTGGGAAGTACGTTGAACCCTGCCAACAACCGTTTTCGCTTTTTTCTACATCGCCTCGATTTGAATCCCGTTTCCCTTTTTTGCCTTTCCCTGTTGTGGGCGATCCTCTGTCGACGGGTGTGGGTTGGAACAATCTTGCTTGGATCGCTGAGAGGGACTCGAGACTGGCTCTGGCTTCGCTGTAGTGCACAGTACCGAACTTTTCAATCCGCTCTCTGCTCGACCAATCTACACCCGGCGTCAAGTCGCTTCTGCTATACAGTCGTTGAACATTATGCTGAGACTGCATCAATATAGCTCCGTCAGTTGAACGTCATCCACCGCGCCTCGCGCCCTTCGCGCCCCGACAAGGCCCGCCGTCTCGGTTACAAGGCCAAGCAGGGCTACGTTGTGTACCGCGTCCGCGTCCGCCGTGGTGGCCGCAAGAAGCCCGTCGCCAAGGGTGCCACTTTCGGTAAGAAATTTGCTCCCCCTCGCCGACTGGTAGCAGAAGGACAGACTTGCTAACGGGATTTCGCTCCACAGGCAAGCCCACCAACATGGGTGTGAACCAGCTCAAGTACCAGCGCTCCCTCAAGGCCACCGCTGAGGAGCGTGTCGGCCGTCGCTGCGCCAACTTGCGCGTCCTCAACTCGTACTGGGTGAACCAGGACTCGACCTACAAGTACTACGAGGTCATCCTTGTCGATCCCCAGCACAAGGCCATCCGCATCGATCCCCGCATCAACTGGATCGTCAACCCCGTCCACAAGCACCGCGAGGCCCGTGGCCTCACCGCCACCGGCAAGGCCTCTCGCGGTCTCAACAAGGGTCACCGTTACAACAAGACCCGTGCTGGCCGCAGAAAGACCTGGAAGCGCCACAACACCCTGTCCCTGTGGCGCTACAGGTAAAGGTTGGTGCGCGTCCGCGCACCCGCCGGCAGCTCACAATTGTCGACCGAATTCGTTTCCAGTCTCTCCCCGGATCGCACACACATACACGGGGTTCTTTCTTCTCCAGGGCTTCTCGGGGAATGCATTGCTTGCGTTTTGCTTGGACTTTGTCTCGTCTTTGGTCGCTTGCGTGTGCCACAATCTTTTCTCGGTCTTCTTGGTGGGAAAGAAGAAAGAGAGCCCCCCATGTAATTGGGCTGTAACACCTTGTTGGGTCTGAGAGCTCATGTCTGGGGGTTTAACGTCTATTTTCGGTAGCTTGCAAAAATAACTTTCGGATGAATCAAAATGAAGTGGGAACGAGAATGTTCCAGTATTCAATATTTCAATGGGTCCGCTACTATCGACTTTGTGATGCCTGTTCAGATAAAAGTCTTACTCAGAAGTGGATTATGCATCGGAATAATGCCTTTTACTATCCATCCTCACATGTGATCTTAACAAGCCTTCTTTATACCCTGTCCAGCTCATTACGTCGCAATACGTTACGATTCGCCGACGTAAAGCCCCCTTTTACATGACGTCGGTCTCTTCTAATAAGCAGGGAGAATCCCGTCAGAACCTGCAGTCTCCATAGCCGGGCAGACGCGGATCATGCCTGAGGTCCAGTCGGTCCAGCCGCAAGCCACGGTGTTGCATATTGCCATGCGGGGGGCTTGCAGTGCTGACGCGCATGGTCAATTACCGGGTATCAATCGATTTCTGGACAGAATCTGCTGAAATGTTGGTGGTTGCAATAGTATAAAAACCTACAACTTGCGCCAATGCGGCAAGCAGCTTCCGAGACATATACAACCTTGGGGGTGTAAGCGGTGCCACAGTCTTCAGAGGTCACTTGATTGGAGTCTCCAATACACGCAGTCTCACATACCCATTTAGGCAGTCTTCACGTTGGGAGAATGATGGAAAAGCAAAGCATGTCGACGGACCAGAGTCTGTCAAACGAGACGCTTATGGAGCGATATCCCGAATATGCGTCGACGGCGATTCTCGACGAATTGCGAGCGGAGGAGTATTCCTTCCTTGACGAGCACAGACACGTATATTTGGACTATACTGGTGCAGGTCTCGCTTCCCATTCTCAACACCGAGCCCATCACGAGCAGCTCAAGCACGGGACGTTCGGAAACCCCCACTCGAGTAACCCAACCAGCCGGGCCGCTACGGACCTGGTCGACGAGACGCGGCAACGAATACTGCAGCACTTTTCCGCATCGCCGGAGGAGTACGCAGTCATATTCACACCAAATGCGACGGGCGCGGCACGGCTCGTCGGCGAATCGTATGCGTGGCGGCGTGGCGCTCGGCTGGTCCTGACGGCGGACAACCACAACTCGCTGAATGGCCTGCGCCAGTTTGCGGAAAGGGGAAAGTCGCGAACGGTATATGTGCCGATCGCTGACGCAGACGAGCTGCGCATCCGAGAAGCAGACGTGGTGGCCGCGCTGTCTCACAACAGAACACCAGTCTGCTTACCGCGAACCTGGTTCGAGAAGAGCAAGGCAAGCGGCACGAGCAGCCGCCGGGGTCTGTTTGCGTATCCGGCACAGAGCAACTTTACCGGCGTCCGCCATCCGCTGTCCTGGATTCGCCTAGCGCAGGAGCAAGGGTACGATGTGCTTCTGGATGCAGCCGCGTACCTGCCGACAGCGAAGCTAGACCTGTCCACGCTCAAGCCCGAGTTTATCATGGTCAGCTGGTACAAGCTCTTTGGGACGCCCACCGGCGTCGGGTGCCTCATTGCGCGACGAGACGCGCTGGCTCGGCTCCGCAGGCCGTGGTTCTCGGGCGGTACCGTGCAGGCCGCGACGGTCGGCTTGCCCTGGCACCTCATGGAGGACGGCGAGGCCGGGTTCGAAGACGGCACCGTCAACTTTTTATCCATTCCCGACGTCACCGTCGGACTCGACTGGCTCTCCCACATCGGCGTCGACACCGTAGCCACGCGCGTGCGCTGCCTGACGGGGTGGCTGCTCGAGCGGCTGCTCGCGCTCGCCCACAGCGACGGCAGTCCTCTCATTGTCCGCTACGGGCCGGTCGACGTGCGCGGCCGCGGCGGCACCGTCTGCTTCAACATTGTGGACGGGTCCGGGGCCGTGGTCGACGAGCGGCTCGTGGCGACCGAGTCGGCGAAGGCGGGCATTTCCCTGCGCACGGGCTGCTTTTGCAACCCGGGCGCGGGCGAGGCGGCGCTGGGCATCACAGGCCGTGGTCTGCGCCGCCTGGTGCGGGCGCGCGCAGAGTCGTACCAAGACTTTGTCGACGCTCTGGACGGGACGGCGGTCGGGGCCATCCGCGTATCGCTCGGCATCGCGTCGGTGGCGGCGGACGTGGATGCCCTGGTGGCGTTTGTGGAGGAGACATATCGGGACAGGGTGGTGACGACCACGAATCTGCCGCCGCGCACGAAATGCTGAGCCGAGACGGCAGAGATGCCGATAGAAAATTATTTATTTTTACGTTGTCATACATAACTCTGTAATTAGACATAGAGATACTAGTTACTTTCTGCTTTTTAACCCGCCAGACAATGAACCTATTGTTCTGTGTAATAGAATGTGTCTGGAGCGGGTCTCGGAACGCCAAGAATCAACTGTGTTGCCGGGATCCCGCGACCCTTGCTGCACACGCAGGGCACGGCGTTGGCGTCCAATGATAGGAGAGATATATAAGCAAATTCCTTCAGCCTGCATAAGAAAGAACGCTAATTGATGTTGGTGGTTCGTTCTGTATCCACCGCAATCTGTTGTTGAGGCCGCTGTCGATCAAGGCATGCTCCGTCTACACAAGGTGATTGGCCTGGTGAACAGAGCGGCCATCTAGACAACGGGTACAGTAAACTGCGACTTATAAAAGCCAGAGAAAAGTACTGTTTGCTGGAATTTTGACACGTCCTGAAGCACAAGGATGTTGGCTTTGCTTGTGGCTTGAATCAAGCCAAGACACTTTGCAACATGCTGCAGTTGAAGAGTCTCGTGTTAATGGCGGCCGCAGTTGCAGCGCTGCCCGAGTTTTCTGGCGCTCTGCGGCCTGGCTCGCCCGAATCCATCAAAAACCTCAAAGACAAGATTAAGAATGTCGTCATCATGGTCATGGAGAACCGCTCCTTTGACAACCTGATGGGCGGTCAGACGCTGGCCGGCCTCGAGAATCCTATCCAGACGGGTCCGTACTGCAACCCTCTCAACATTAGCCGGCCCGGCAATGGAAACGGCTGCACCGCGGCGCTCGACTTTGACTCCATTATTGACGATCCTGACCACTCCATCTCGGGCAACAATCTCGAGTTTTACGGCTCCTTTACGCCCGACAATGCTGCCATCAAAGCGGGCAGTCTCGAGCCAGACATGAGCGGCTTCCTCACGGAGCAGATTCGTCTCTACGGTGGCAAGCAGGATGAAAAGGTGCTCCAAACTCAGGTCATTAACTATTATACGGAGAGCCAGGTGCCAGTCATAACCGCATTGACGCAAAATTTTGTCGTCTTTAACCACTGGCACTCTGACGTCCCCGGTGTAAGTCGCCTGTTGCTCCATCCATCCATCCTTCATTCTTGCGGTCGAAAAAAAAATTAAAAAAAAAAAAAGAAAACTCACATCAAGCACAGCCTACCAACCCCAACCGCGTGGCCCTGTGCTCGGGTACCTCGGCGGGCAAGGGCAAGAACAACTTCAAGTACAACACCATGACGCAAAAGTCCATCTTCCAGCAGGTGACGGAGCTAGGGCTCGAGTGGAAGGACTACCTGGTCGACACGTCGATCCAGGACGCGCGGTGGTTCACGTGGACGTACGACAGCAACAACACGCACCGCGTCGTCTTCATGGACGCCTTTTACGAGGACGCGCGCCGGGGCCGCCTGCCGCACCTCGCCTACATCAACCCGTCGTGCTGCGGCGCGGGCACCAACTCGATGCACCCGACGGGCCGCGTCTCGGACGGCGAGCAGCTCATCAAGGACGTCTACGAGGCGCTGCGCGCCTCGCCCCAGTGGAACCAGACGCTCTGGCTCATCACCTTTGACGAGACGGGCGGCTTCCACGACCACGTCCCGCCGCCCCGCGCCCCGCGCCCGGACAATGCCACGCACACCGAGACCACGCCCGCCGGCCGCGACTACACGTTTGCCTTTGACCGGCTCGGCGGCCGCATGCCCACCTGGCTCGTCTCGCCCTGGGCCCGCGCCGCCGTCGAGCAGCGCGGCGTCAACGCCTGCGGCAAGACCGTCTCGTACCGCGCCACGTCGATTCTGCGCACGCTCGGCTACCTCTGGGGCTTTGCGCCGTATAACCCCCGCGTCAAGGATGCGCCTTCATTTGACCATTTGATCGGTACTGAGCTGCGCACTGATACGCCGGACAGTTTTCCTACAGTCTCGCACTTTCGTTCGTAAGCATGTGTGTTTGAGGTAGCCCCGGCCCCGAGCCTTGCTATAGAGAATACGCCTCGTTATATAGAACATAGAACCGTGGGGGTTTTCTTTGGACATGAGTCCTCGTTGATATACTTTTGTCATATCATTGTTTTGTGCTGGTGCTTACCCCATTGTACTTAAACATAGAACTCTTCTTAGCAATCGGGCTCTCTAAGCTTACGATTAATAAGTTAGCTAATCAGAAGGCGTAGATAATAACTAACTAGTAAGTATAAGGTTTTAAGTAATATGAAATCTATTATATTATATATACTTTAAAATAAAGGTCCTAAGGAGAGCTTAATAACGCTAGATGCGCTATAATGCCTTAGGAACCAGACTAGGCACGGGGTAGTATAGCTAGCGTCCGCGCGTTAGAATCGCGGGGTGAGTAACGGCGTTTATGACGTAGTTCAACTGTCTAGCATTTAATATGTAGTTGATCAAATATTCTAAATAACCAAATATCACTGGAAAATTCTTCAAAATAAACAAATATAGGTCCACATTTGATTTGTCTGACCTAAGGGCAGCGCTGTCATAACTATCACCCAGCAATTGTATGGTACAGCTTAGAGAACACTAGAGACTCTTGATTTCCTACTTAGATAGTGAAATGATGCACAACTTGACCTTGACATTAACAACTGATCTCATAACGTGGTGCTAATTAGGCTCGCTGCGGACAATTCCTGGATTTATCGCATGGATAGAAAAAGGCTAGTTACTGCCCGAAACAATTAAGCCGAGGATCCGCTGACGCACTCCTTAATGGCATTCCACGCGATGTTTCGGTTTGGGAATATGTTGATCTGCTTGCCTCTTTGGACAACACACTCGGCAACCTGAGGGCGGCACTCATCAAGGCTCTTGCCAAGATCCTTGCAAAGCTCCTCCTCCCTATGCCTCAGATCCGCGAGCTTGTTAGAGCCCGACAGGTCGCTTGTCTGGGTCCCAGGATTGGAGCCAGAGCCAGGTTCCCCGAGATTTGCGTTTATAAATGCTAGGTGCTTGCTAACACTGGTATACACCGCGGGAGCCAGGTTGCAAAAGGGTGTTAGCTTTGTTGGCCACTGAAATCCTGGGTCCCTCGCGACGAATGACGCGATACCAATTATCTGTCCCGTCTCCTGGTCGAAAAGAGGGCCGCCGCTGTCCCCTCTGCATACATTCTTGCCATTTCCACCAGCACACACTATTTTGTCTGTAGCAACCCAGTTTGGGTCGGTGCTGGAACAATATTCGCGTGGCTGAACAGGAACAACAACCTTGCCAAGTGTGCCAGCTCGGAAGGGAGAGTCGAGAAACAGTGGTGCCTTTTGCACGCCCCTTGCCTGTTGGTTAGCGTCTTCCCGATATGCTGCTGAGGTTGAGGGCGCTTACCAGCCTGCCGCCACTGCAGTGGAATTCACCACGGGATCCGAGCCGTTCTCCGGCAGCATCGCATAACCAATCGCCTCGCTCTTTTCAATTGGAGTTGATAATTTCAAGATGCCAATGTCATTAGATGTTCGCACGCCATTCGCTCCGAAATCAGGATGTCGCTTGGCCGACGCAACCTTTGCAGTTACTCCTCCCTTACTAGGGTGCTGTACAGTTATTAGCTTTACGCTGCACAAATTTTTGCCTGTATCGAGGCACACAACGCGGCATTGACGCCCAAGTAACCAAGATGTGACCTAAGCGATAAAGGGTGTGTAGACTTACCACTGTTCCTGCCACCACGGAACCGTCGCTTCCACCAATACAATGAGCAGCAGTAAGAACAGTAAAGCTGTCTAACAAAACACCTCCACAAAAGTTGCCAATACTAACGATAGATGGAAATTCACCATCCTTGGCATCTTGTCCGCCAATAATCCTCTTATCGATACTTGCCGCCGCTGTCAAAGCAGCCGAAATCGAGACGACCAGTGTAATAGCTACCTTGCGTATCATTGTAAAGAATGTAGTTGTTCATGAATCGGTAAGGATAGTTGCAGAATATATACGCACAATGTGTATAAAGGAATGTTCTCTGTCGATAGATCGCAACACCATGGCCTGTCTGGGCAGCTTGCGTTATTTATCATTGCACATATATACACACTGAGGCATTGAATGTATAGGCAAGTACCTATAACTCATGAACATAAATACAATTATTAATCTACCTCCCTACGCTTAATTTAGCTTTAAGCATATCGTAGCCATACGAGGCGTGATGTGTACAGCCGATAAATACCTACTATCTAACGAGTCTCCTAAGCCGTGTAATCTTAAAATCCCGTGTTAAGGAAATAATATATAGAGCTCATAATTGCAAAGGGGAGCCTCTGTGCTAATAGTCCATGCACTGCTTACCTATGCTCGACCGAACGAGGTGGGATGACCTACGTCAGGTCGGAATGGTGATTCTTGGGTACGGGATACTCGGCAACAATTCCGCCAATATATTTCAAAGTGTAACTGTTGCTAAATAGGCTGCATAGTATTCCAAATCATGTACTGTGGAGCATTACGAGTGCTATCATCTTCACAACGTAGCCTATTCGTCGTCGCCACGTCTACGTGGTGCTACGAACCCTCCGTCTTCCTAGTCCTAAGTAATCCTAAACCAAATATCCCGTCTTTCAGTCGTTTAGAACGGGTCATCTTTGTTAGGTGTGTATGAACTTTTTTCTCCCCCTCTGATTCATCCTGTATCTATCCTCTATGACTTTTACCTATGTCGCCATCGTCTCATCCGTTATATATCTGTTACATCCTCAGTAGCTATAAAACATAAAGGCTAGCTAATCACCCAAATATATTCCTGACGTAAAAGGTACACTAAGCTGACTCGTTGCGAGACCAGTTGACTTCGGCTATAGCCGTACGGTCCGCAGTCCCGACACTCCGGGAACGTGGTTCGATGTGTGACAGCACGCTTTGACACTTCGGACGATGTGGTGGGATAGCACCGTCGGCTGCTCCGCATAGCCGCGCCCCCTCCGCCGACGCTACTTAGACCAGGCAAGGGGAGACAAAAAGGATGGCTCATCCTCATAATATATCACACGAGCACCTAGAGAAACAGAATAATAACAGAATAATAAAAGATGGATAGAATTTATGTTTAATAAGAGAGTATTATTTAGCTATTCAATTATACTAAGTTGGTATTTTCATATGTAAAGCTATCTTTTTAGTATTAATAGATAATACATAAAAAGGTAGTCTTACTTTCAGGAATCTCATCATAGGCTGATTACTTTGTCCCCCCGCTGCCCAGGCTAGCGTTCCAGACCTATCCGTCAAAAGCCCCAATGCAGCATGACCCACAGGTCCGCGGTTACCAGTCAGAACAACGTCGCTGATCATCGTGGATCATATAAGGCCAACAATCAGTCATTTGCATGAACTTTCAAGTGGACGTCTCAGAAAATTCCAACTGTGCAAGGCAATTTATGCTTACTACATTGTTCGGAAATAGTGCGAAATGCTCCCGCTTAGTTAGTGTCGGCTCACAGGGGGAAATCACTAGCTACTGCAGTAGTCATATGATCTTGCTCTTGTTTTCTTTCTAGAGCTGGAAGCTATCAATGGAAAAAGGAGGTGCTGCAACCTTATTCACGTGCACCTCTACAGGGCAGGAGAGGGAGCCCGTAAGTGATTTACATCGCGACAGTCAGGGCTAATATTTGAATATTTCAAAGTCGAATCGAGCTCAAGACCTTTGAATTGAATGAATTGAAGCTAGTAAGGTCTTCATCTTGATCGAATTGGAAAACGAAGGCCTTCATTTGCTTCTGTCTTGCAGGGGGCGGGCGTTCTAGTCGCAAGCCAATGCAAAAACAAAAGGTTACGAAGAAGAAGCTCGAGCCACAGTTGGAAATTGTATAATGAAGCCAGATGTGTCTGCTAGTGATTAAAGCTCTGTATTGAGCTCTCGCTTCGGCCTCTAATCTGCGAAAGTAGTTGTCATGGAGGACGGAGCAGCAGGCGCAGATAAACAAAGTACTGAGGCACAGTGGACAAGTTGAAGACCTAACAAACTGGCGAAAACCCAATGCTTCGCTCACTGCTCGCCGCGCCAAAAGCCGCCAGGGACTGCATGCCAAAATAATCGCGATGGATCTATCTATATAGACGTACGGAGCGAACTAGCAAGAAAATATCCTCCTTTTTCGGTGACGCCGGCTGCCTACGCCTGCGGTCGCGTGGCGGCTCTATTTACGTGCGACGCCTCGCCCTTGACTCCTCCTCCTTCTCAAGATCCAAGCCACACCGGTGGGCCCCGCGCGCCGTCAAGTCCATGTCTTCGACTGACAGGCGGCCCATGGCACCGACAAACAAAATTTTTCGAAGCCGTCGCGGCGGCTGCGATGCTCAGACACAAATTTTGGCTGCCGCATCTCCAGCGCGCTTTCATGGGGGGTCGGAAACCCGGGCGTTGGTTTTTTTTTCGACGCGCTCGCGCAGCTTGTGCGTCTTACGATTAAAATGGTAATCCTCGCGCTCCACCTGGCGCCGGCGACGCTTCTCCTTACCATTCTGTCTTTGCCCAGCCTCGCGTGTTCGCCTTTGTCTTGCGACGTCCATCGGCGTGTGGGAGAAAAAGTAGTGCTGCAGCTATTATAGGTGAGGACACCGGTGAGTACGTTCTGCCGCCTGGCACACGTGCTGCGGCCACATCTACTTACTAGAATGATTCCAGCATAGCTGCGTCGTGGGGGCCGGTGGAGAAAATGTAGACATCTTTTGCCACGGCAACCAAGTTAAGACTATGATAAATAAGAGAGTAATACTATCTTAGTTATAGAGTAATATTAGCTATAGTAAATATAAGATATCAAGGCCTAAAAACTGACTTTTTCTTAATTATAAATAGAATAATCTTTTAAAATAAATCTTTAATATTATAAAAAGAATTTAAAAATAAGATAATATTACTTATTATTATATAATTATAATATAGATATTTAGAGAAATAATAATAAGATAAGTTTATATCTACTATATAATACTATAGATTTTTATAGTTTATTTTTAAATATTATAATATAAAGATTTTTTAAATTTAATTTTTTAAAATTATAAATTATTTATTTATTTAAAAATAATATAATTAATAAGTAAATAGGCTAGATAAGTAAGTAAGCTACTCTACCTAA